TGAAGGGTTGGAGAAGAGAGGCTAGATCTCATCCCATCTGTTCTACCTGAGGTTCCATCCCTTCTGGGAGCATGGATCCAACTGCCCCCCCCCAGCTTGCCCAGGGGGCCCAACAATTCTGCTGGGCTCCCCTGCACAGACAGTCCCCTTAGATACTCCATTCTGTCTTGTTGCCAATGTGATCATATCTCTGTTATAAATGGCCCTTAAAAATTATATATATCTATATATCAACATTCAGGTTATTCCTAGTCATTTACTCCAGGCCAACTGCAGTGTACCTCATACACCAAGGAGTAGGTCTGTAGCCAGCCCTATAATAAACGTCACAAAAATTTATTAAATAGGAAAAGGAAATTAGAGTGTTATTTACAAGATCAAAGCAAGTGACTATAGACACATGAATAAGTTAGAGTCTTAGTTTTTAAAGGTAACAAAGATTCCGTAATCTGCCACCTCTGTTCTTCCAGATATGCAGCTGGGGCTCTCTGGAATGTGCCTCGGTCTGGAAATGCCCTGATCCCTCCCACACACAGGCTATGTCTATACTGCAGCCTTCTTCCGCAAAAGCTTATGCAAATAAAGCATGGAGTAGAATATCTCCACGCTTCATTTGCATAATGAATTAGCAGGCATTTTTGCACAAGAGGAGGTTTTTGCGCAAAAAGGAGCTGTGTAGATGGCTCCTTTTTATGCAAAAATCCCCTCTTGCGCAAGAACCGTTCTTCCTGAAAAAATGTGTCTGCACAACTTCTTTTTGTGTGAAAGCCTCTTGCGCAAAAACGGCTGCTAATTAATTATGCACTGAAGAGCAGCGATATTCTACTCCACACTTCATTTGCATAAGCTTTTGCGGAAGAAGGCTGCAGTAAAGACGTAGCCACAGAGTTCCAACTCCAGAGAGGTCCTTAGGTCCTTTGTAATTTTTACTCCCATTCCAGCCAAGTGCTCCCAGCTGCTAATTCCACTGGTGGAAGGAGTTCACTCGTGTGGGAGGAGATCAGCAAAACAATAAAAGTCTTTTGGCCATTTGTTGACTGTTCCTCAAACCAGAAGTAGTGAATTTCTAGTTGTAAGAGCCAGCCAGCCACTTGGGGCTCTTCTTTTAGGAGTAGGTGTAACAATTTTATAGAAGAGACGCTTAATGCAATTAATGTCCCTCTCCTGTACAGAGATTCATAGAGTCACAGAAGCTCA